TGGGGGATCGGGGATTTGGGGTCTGGTGTCAGGGATTTGGGGTCTGGGGTTCAGGGATAGGGGATTTGGGGTATGAGATTTGGGGATTGGAAATTTGGGGTCTGGGGATTTGGGATCTGGGATTGGGGATTCAGGATCAGGGATCTGTGATTAGGGATTTGGGATATGGGATTTGGGATTCCCAGGGCATTGGGGCAGGGGGTCACTGAGGTCCCCTGTCCAACCCAGGCACTTTGAAACAGTCCAAAATAAGAATTGAGGGATTTTTCTGTCATTTCAGTTGATTCCCTTCCTTGAAGGGCCACCCCTACTCCCCATCAGGCATCAGGAGTGACTCATTTCTTTCCCAAAACCTAAACCACGCCATCTTTACTATTTTCCCTTGATTTTTCAAAGCTTTTTCACTGTGTTAAGACAACTAGTTTCAACAAGTCGTTTCCAGGATCTGTTCCAAATAAACACCTTCTGTGAGCAGTTTATTTTTAAATCCATTGCAGTTGTATTTTAATTGTTCCAATGATTTGTTTCTCGTTTGAGGTAATGTAAATAATATAACTAATCCTTAAATCAACTCTAAACATGAACTTGATTGATCTTAAGCCTAAAGTTAAATGTTTAGATGATGATGATGATGCTCCAGAAGAAACATTTCTCCAGCATTTGATGTAAAATTTATAGTGACTCAATATAAGTTAATTAGCAATTAGCATATTTGGCATATGACACCGTAGGGAACAGCCTTTGATTTCAGAATCAGCGAGGCTCCAGATTTACACCTGATATTGGGAATTAGGAATTGTTCCCTGGAGGATGGTGAGGGCCACAGGGTGCCCAGAGCAGCTGGGGCTGCCCCTGGATCCCTGGCAGTGCCCAAGAATCCCTGGATCTGTCCTGCCCCTGGATCCCTGGCAGTGCCCAAGAATCCCTGGATCTGTCCTGCCCCTGGATCCCTGGCAGTGCCCAAGAATCCCTGGATCTGTCCTGTCCCTGGATCCCTGGCAGTGCCCAAGGACAGGTTGGACACGGGCTTAAAAAGTTTAAACTCCTCTCGCCAAAAATGTTCTCAGAATCCCAGAATGGTTTAGGCTGGGCTCTGAAATGCCACGCAGTGCCATGGCAGGGACACTTCCCACTGTCCCAGTGCTGCCAGCCCCAGTGTCCAGCCTGGCCCGGGCGCTGCCAGGGATGCAGGGCAGTGGCAGGTGTCCCTGCCGTGGCAGGGTGGCACTGGGTGGTGTTTGAGGTCCCTTCCCAGCCCGAGCACTCCCTGGTTCCATGGTGGGGCAGTGCAGGATGCTCCTGGCAGCACGGCCCGTGCGTGGCTCTGCAGCTCCCTGTGCTCTCCCTGCAGAAGAAGGTGATGCTCAACATGTTCCTGGACACGCTGATGGCCGACCCTCCTCCCCAGTGCCTTGTGTGGCTGCCCCTCATGCACAGGCTGGCTCACGTTGAAAATGGTAAATGCAGTCTCCTCCTGCTCCGTCCTTGCTCCTGTGAGCAGCAGCTCGGGCCTTCATCAGTCCTGTCCCAGAGCATCCCAGACCTGGCTGGGACACATTCCTGGGAATGTGCATGGGGACTGGCTGGGCGTGAAAGCAGCAGCAGGGCAAAGCCTGGGTTTTACTGTTACAGCAGTTAGTGGAAGAAAAGTGACATTATCTGATTGTTCCTGAGGCTGGGGGAGCTGGGAAAGGAGAAAAGGAGGCTCAGGAGGGACCTTGGGGCTCTGCACAGCTCCTGCCAAGAGAGCCCTGGAGGGGCTGGAGCGTGTCCAGGGAAGGGAACGGAGCCCCAGGAGGGGCTGGGGGAGCTGGGAAGGGAATGGAGAGTTCCTGGGGGAGCTGGGAAGGGTCTCAGCCTGGAGCAAAGGAGGCTCAGGGGGACCTTGTGGCTCTCACAGCTCCTGCCAGGAGGGGACAGCCAGGGGGGTCGGGCTCTGCTCCAGGGAACAGGGACAGGACAAGGGGAAATGGGCTCAGGCTGGGCAGGGCAGGCTCAGGGTGGGCAGCAGCAGGAATTTCTGCCTGGAAAGGGAGCTCAGGCCTTGGCACTGCCCAGGGAGGGTTGGAGTGCCCATCCCTGGAGGTGTCCAGGGAATTCCTGGATGTGGCACTCAGAGCTCTGGGCTGGGGACAAGGTGGGGATTGGGCACAGGTTGGGGTTTTCAATCCCAGGGATCCCGGGGTGTTGTGCCCCTGCCATCCCCCCATGCCCTCAGTGTGCATTTCCCTGGAGCTCTGCCAGCTGTGCCTGTGCCATGTTGGAGCTGTGTTCCATTNCCTGGATGTGGCACTCAGAGCTCTGGGCTGGGGACAAGGTGGGGATTGGGCACAGCTGGACTGGATGGGCTGGGAGGGATTGTCCAGCCTCAGGGATCCTGGGATTTTTAAATTAATTTTGGTGGTGGCAATTTCCTGGGATCAAGTCCTATGGGGAATCGTGCCCAGGAGGTGAGGAGGTTGATCTGGTTAAAGTGTTGGGTGAACTCCAGGGCAAAGGGGATCCTGGTTTGATCCTGGCATTCCCTGGCAGCAGCCAGGAGCAGGAGGGGACCAGCTTGGCTGCTCCCCTTCCTTTGGGTCTTTCCTATCCAAAGCTAAACTTTGGCCCTTGCAGAAAAATCAAAACAAACAAAATTAATACCACAAAACAAACAAACAAACAAAAACCAAGCAAATAATCACCCAAAACCAAACCAAACAAACAAAACCACCAAAACCGCAAACCCAAACAAAAACAAAAAAAACAAACCCCACAAAAACCTTAACAAACAAACCCTAAGGAAACAACAACAGAAAATAAAAACCACAACAGAAAATAAAAACCACAACAGAAAAAAAACCCCAAAACAGGCAAAAAGCCCAAAGCAAGAAAAAACAAAAAAGTCCTGCAGGTAACCAAAACAACTGCCACCTCTTTTGTTCTCCTCTTGCTGTTCCCTGATCTAATAATCCCTGATCCTGGCTGTTCCAGCCTTCTCCTTATCCATCATTGTGAGGCTGTGCCTGTGCAGGACAGTGAGTGCTGTCCCTGTCCCTGTCCCTGTTCCTGCTATGCCTCGTGGTCTGTTATCAGAACATTGTTATTGCTCCCCTCATCAGGATATCAGGGTTTGGGTTGTTGTTATTGCTCCTCTCATCAGGATATCAGGTTTGGGTTGTTGTTATTGCTGCCCTCATCAGGATATCAGGGTTTGAATTGTCATTGCTTCTCTCATCAGGATATCAGGTTTGGGTTGTTGTTATTGCTCTCCTCATCAGGATGTCAGATTTGGGTCGTTGTTATTGCTGCCCTCATCAGGATATGAGGGTTTGGGTTTGGATTATTGCTCCCCTCATCAGGATATCAGGGTTTGGGTTGTTGTTATTGCTGCCCTCATCAGGATATCAGGGTTTGGGTTGTTGTTATTGCTCCTCTCATCACAATATCAGGGTTTGGGTTGTTGTTATTGCTCCCCTCTGGAGGATATCAGGGTTTGAATTGTCATTGCTTCTCTCATCAGGATATCAGGGTTTGGGTTATTGCTCCCCTCATCAGGATGTCAGGTTTGGGTTATTGCTCCCCTCATCACAATATCAGGGTTTGGGTTGTTGTTATTGCTCCCCTCTAGAGGATATCAGAGTTTGAATTGTCATTGCTTCTCTCATCAGGATATCAGGGCTTGGGCTCTGTGCTGCTTCTGTTCCCTTTTATCTGCAGCAATCTGTGCTGCCTGCACAGAGCCAGGGAGGAGAAGAGACAGTTCTGACAAGGTGGGGGAGGATTTCTCATGGAGCCAGGCTGGGAGAGCTGGGGGGGCTCACCTGGAGAGGAGAAGGATCCAGG